GAAGGAATTAAATAGAAGGGATAATGCATTTGTTGCCCCACCTCTTCCTGCTCCAGCTTCATTTGCCAGCACTTCAAGCCAGCATGGGAAGTGTTGCAGGACATGCTAATCCACACTTTGGCTGAAATATATTGAGTACCATTGGCTTATGAAACCCCCTAATAGAAGCCAAACACTACATCCACAAAATGCTCCATTTCCTTGTGTCTAGCTGCCCTGCCCCGTGCTATCCATTTTTGATTGGGGAGGGGGGAAGACACAACAAATATGAAGACACCAGCATTTACTAACCTCAGAGGAAAGAGTGTCTCTTGGCTCACAGTTGTGTCCCTCAAACCACGCAGAGTAGGTCACTGGGTGCTATTAAACATAGGACACAAGGAAAGAGAGTGCTGGCAGACACTTAAGGACAGGTCTCCTGGGAAGCTGGCTCAGCTGTGGAAGCAGAGTGTCAGGCCAGGCTGCAAAGATTTTAACTCCTTGTTGCAGACACCAAGCCTTTCAGGAGGGACCCTGATTGATTTGTCATGTAAGAATCAATATCACCCTGGTTAAAGTGGGCACAGAACTTTCTCCCTCACGTGATATGGGAGACTGGACAATTTAAAATTTCTTGTCAAAGTTGTAGAGTAAGTGGTCAAAAGCTAAATAATGAGGAGGCAATAAATATCACACATGGAAGGCATCACTAACAGTGTCCTATAATGTGTAGAGAATAAATCAAGAAGACAGAATCACAGACAGTTCTTCTATGACTCTCTTTACTGAAGGCTCTGCAAAACTCCCCAATATGTCTATCCACCCCAAGTTATTGGGATACCCACACTTCTTTTCCTCCCCACTCCTCTGGGAAAGTACCCCTTTGGAGAAGTTTGAATAGAACATTATATTAGCCAGCTTTTTATCCTCATAACAAAATACTCAAGATAATATGTTACAATGAAAAAAGGTTTACTAGGGGTTGCAGTTTCGGAAGCTCAAGCTTATGTTTGTTTGGTCCCGTTGATTTGAGCCTGAGGTGTGGTAACACATTAAGGTGGCTTTGTGAAGCAAAGCAAAGACAGAAGACAGACCCTAAGCATCTCCTACAAGGCCCTCCTCCTGCAGGCTATACTGCCTCCTAATAGTCACCCTAGGAAACAAGCCTTTACAATCTCTCTTCTTTTTTCTCTCTTTATTCTTTATTCTTGTTATTTGTTCTGAGAAAGTCTTCAAGTAGTCCAGCCAGGCTGGCTTTAAGATTTCTGCATAGCTAAGTGTGGTGGTGTGAATTAGGATGGGCCCATAATAGGCTCAAATGCTTGAACACTTGGTTCCTCCTGCCCCGCCGCCATGGGTGAACTGTCTGGGAAGGATTGGGAGGTGCGGCCTTGTTGTAAAAGTGTGTCACTAAGGGTGGGCTTTGAGTTTTCAAAAACCTCTGGCAATGCCAGTGCTCTGCCTCCTGCTGGCTCTTTTGTGTGACGTGTGAGCTCTCAGTTGGTCTTTCTGCCAGGCCTTGCACCACCATCATGGACTCTAACCCTCTGGAACTGTAATCCTAATTAAATGCTTTCTTTTATAAGTCAATGTCATTACAGCAACAGCAATCTCAACAGACAAACCAAAGATTACCTTCCACCCCTGATCCCCCTGCATCCATTTCCTAGGTGCCAGGATATCCATACACCCCACAGTTCACAGCTCAACACATCTATCCTTGGGGGAATGTTCATTATCCAAAGTACAGAAGACATTCACCTTCAACTCTATTCACACTGGACTCTCATCCTCTCTCTCTCTCTCTCTCTCTCTCTCTCTCTCACACACACACACACACACACACACACACACACACACACACACACACACACACACAGATTCCCCATAGAATTCCCCTCTGCAAGCTAAGAAGATGGCCTCCGGGTGCAAGCTCATGGCTGCCTAGGACCACTTGGCACCAATACAAGGAAGAGACCAGCCTGAGGTAGAACTGGCAAGCAGAGAAGCATAAATAAACCAGCAAGGAACTGACTAACTATTGCCAGGCAAATGCTTCTTGTAACTTTGACTTCTTTCCCATGAGCTACTCTAGAGTCTTCTCAGTCAGATAGTAAAAGGCATTAATCTGGTTTGAACTGGATTACTGCTTTGTGGTAATAAAAGCCTTAAGCACACCAATAAATAGGGAATTAGAAGTAAAATTAAGTTACGACTATCATTTGAGGGGTGAGAGTCCTCTTTTCTTATTCTTATACTATATTATATAACATTCGACTATATTAAATATATATACATTTAGAAAAGCAAAACATAAGGGGACAAGAAAGGACTACATGCTGGGTGGTGCTGGTGCACACCTTTAATCTCAGCACTCAGGAGGCAGAGGCAGAGGGATCTCTGTGAGTTCGAGACCAGCCTGGTGTACAGAGTGAGTTCTAGGACAGGCTCCAAAGCTACACAGAGAAACCCTGTCTTGAAAAAAAAATTAAAAAAGAAAAAAAAAAAGAAAGAAAGAAAAAAGAAAAGATAAAAAAAGAAACATAAGGTAATGGATACAAGTTATGAAAGAGGACGTGAAGCTAATTGTTTTTCTAATTCTAATTCTTTGTGGACTTTTTGTTTGCTGGTGGATAAGTGCATAATAAGCATTCAAACCTGAAAGTGTAAAACTTAATTTGAAGTTCACAGCTTCCATTTTGAATGACAATTTTAAGTATATGGATGTTCTCTTAGTTGTATGACTTTGAGTTTGGTTAATTTGGATGAGTGATACTTTTATTTATCTGGAAGGTTTCCTTTATAAATAATAAAATGTATTTTTTGGGGGGGCTGACTGGGGGTACAGCTGATACCAGCCACTCGGAGTCACTGAGCAGACACAGCTGCCAGCCCTCAGGTTCCTGCATATGGCAGTCCCCAGCTCCAGGTGTGTGTCCACTTGTTTCCCTTCTTCCACTCGCCTCAGGATTCTGTGCGAGACCCCGCACGCCTCTGCCTACCGCTACTCTCCCCCAGCACTTTGCACTTGGTTCCTTGTCCATATTTCCCGAACATGGTACAGAGAGTGAATTCCAGGCCTGAGGAACAGTTCAGTGGCAGTGCATGGTCGCAGCAGTGAGAGATTATGGGTTCAGATTCAATCCTTAGCTCTGGGATGAAGGAAAGCAAACTCCATGCTGAGTAAATTGAGCGAGCATGGTCAAAGTCCATGTGTTGTTGGCTTGAAGAGCATCCAGCTAGTGCTATGAATTCACTTTTCCTGAACTGCACAAGCAATGGGAGGATCCTAAAATTTGACCAGGTGACTTGATCTGTCTCTTGTTAAACTGATTTTTATATATATAAAGGGGAAAAAAGGGGGGATGTTTATTTTATGTGTATAAGTGTGTACATGTAGGATGTGTACCTTATGCATGTAATGCTTGAGAAGGCCAGAAGATGGAGTCATATTCCCTGGAACTGGAGTTACAGATGGTTATAAGCCACCTTATACATGCCTGGAACTGAACCCTGGTCCTGTGCACAAGCAGCCAGTGTACTTAACCACCGAGCCATGCCTCCAGCCCCACATAGCTCTTTTTACATTGCTGTGTTCTAAAAGTGTTTCTACTCATCACACATAGATGAAAGGATCCCTTTACTGCAGTACTTGCTACCTGGGATATTGTTGACTTTTATCTCACTACTGTACTCTGATGTGCCCTTGAATGCACATCATTACTGGATTTGTCCACGAAGGCTTTAACACAATCCTTGGCGCAACAGGCACCTGATGTGTCCAAAGAACTATTTAAACCCCACACAGAACCTCACTTCTCAAGGTGTGATGCCAGCAGCAGCAGCAGCCTGGACTGATGCTGGGACCCCTCCCCAGAACTGCTGTTTCCCAAGTTAAGTTTCAAAAGTGTTGCTGTAGAGAATAAAAAACCCAGAAAGAGTCCTGGAGCCTTCTGGGGGACATGACAAGACACAGCACAAAACAAAACAGCTCAACTGTGTCCCAAAGCAGAATCTGTCTAGGGAGAGAGTTCAGAAGCAGTGTGTGCTCTCAGACTGGACGGAGCAGTGTCATCCCTTGGCAGTGGGTTGCCTTGGTGAGAAAGAGGGAAGGGAGAAGTACAAGTGAGAGATGAGGAGGACTGTAACCAGGGAGGTGAAGTGGAGGGTCTTGGAGGCAGGAGAGCTGGAGCAATCCTGATTGGGGAAAAAAAAAAAAAGACTTTAGGGGAATAGAGGGGAGCTGGTGGACCTGAGCAGGAAATTCTGTGGGAATCAGGGGAGGCAGAGGCATCAGATGATGCCCTAGATGAAGGGTCCGCAGGATCCTTTGCACTACATAACAATTAGGTCACACGGAAATGTGACTTCTCCCACCTTTCAGCTGGAGATCATGATCAGATTTAAGGTCTGATCCGGTTCCCGTATAAGAGACATAGGCCCATCCTTTCAAGGCAGACACCTTCAGGATCTTAGTCCTAGACTTCACAGATGTGGTAATGGAAATAATAAATTAACAATGTCACTTTGGTACTTAAATTAATTGGGTTTGGGTCAGTGCCTGCAGGAAACTTTTGCAGGAACGCCCTAAATGATATCCACTCGCAAACAGCTCCAGGAGTACTTAATAAGTAAACTGGGCAATGATACCCGCAATCCAAGTAGCTGCAGCTTCTATCCAGTTAAGCGAATGTCCCCAAGGGAACAATAACATTGAGTTTGCAGAGTGGCCAGCTGCAGCTGGCTACTGTAAAGTTCCTCTGCCCCAACCTGCTCACCCCGCATCCCTCCTTCACATCCTGAAAACCCAATCACAGTTTTCAATTATTTTGGTCTTGAACCAAAAGAAAGGAAAAAGCATGAGGAAGTCGAGCCCCTGGTGGCTAGGACTCGTCAGGGAAGTCACAGGAATCAAGTAGGAGGCCAGGTTCTCCCCCAGGACAAGGTGCAGAGAGGGTCTCAGCTTGACTGCTGCAGGCGGGTGTCCACGGTGGCGGTCCCGCCCCGCGCGCCGCTGCGACCTGTGGGGGCGCGCGCGGCCTCATGGGGTTCCCGCAGGAGCGCGCCGGGCGGGGAGCGCGCAGGGCGGAGAGCCGGGCGCGAGCGCCGCCGCTCACCTGCCGCGGGCGCCACCGCGGACGTGCCACGCGGGTGGCCCGCGCTCTTCGGCAGCACCGGAGGAGCCCCCCTCGGTCTGGGCGTGCCAAGGTGACCCCCGATGACCCCCTGCCCCGTAGGCTGCGCGTCTCCGCAGCTAGGGGAGCGGCCAAATGCATGCACATCCTTCTCTCTGTCTGTCTGTCTGGGCACCTCGGTGGTACACACCTACCTTTTGTGGCCCTTGCTTTCTGATCCATGCACACAGGGAGAGGCTGAGACCCTCCCTCCCTGCCTCTTTGTTTGGGTCCGGAGGTGTGTTTGGGGGTGTGCACGCGCGTGGGGAATTTTTGGAGGGGTGGGAGTTCCGGGCCCTTAAAATATTCCATCCTCCTGCAGACTTATAGCTGCTGGGCGGTGCTCTCAGCTGTCCAGATGTCAAGCAGTTGTTGCTTTTTGGCATGAGAGATGCAATTAGTCAATGTCGGCTCCCAGCGCCTTGGCAAGTGCGCTTGTGCCGCCTTGGGAGTCCTGTCCCGTGTTTCCCTCAGTGACCAACCGCATTTCGGTTGTGGGGTTTAATCCATGCAGACTTGAGCTTTTGTTTCTAATTCCTGAAGCTCGTGGCATGTTTGACACTGGTGTCTGAGCCTAGGGCTGTCTGTCTGTCTCTGTATATTTTGCATGATCTTGGATTCGTACCTTACTTTACCCAAACATTAAAAAGCCTGTCTTTCCATTGAAGAGTACAGGGGTTAAAATGAACGAAGACCTGAAGGTCAATTTAAGTGGGCTGCCTCGGGACTGTATAGATGCCAGTGTTCCGGAAAACATCTCAGCCGCTGCCCCCTCCCAGGACCCTGTTGCGGAGTCAGAACCTGAGCTCGTTGTCAACCCCTGGGACATTGTCTTGTGCAGCTCAGGAACCCTCATCTGCTGTGAAAATGCCATTGTGGTCCTTATCATCTTCCACAGCCCCAGCCTGCGAGCACCCATGTTCTTGCTGATAGGCAGCCTGGCTCTTGCAGACTTGCTGGCTGGCCTGGGACTCATCATCAATTTTGTTTTTGCATACCTGCTTCAGTCAGAAGCCACCAAGCTGGTCACAATTGGACTCATTGTCGCCTCTTTCTCTGCCTCTGTCTGCAGTTTGCTGGCTATCACTGTGGACCGCTACCTCTCCCTGTATTATGCCCTGACGTACCACTCTGAAAGGACCGTCACGTTTACCTATGTCATGCTGGTTATGCTCTGGGGAACGTCCATCTGCCTGGGGCTGCTGCCTGTGATGGGCTGGAACTGCCTGAGGGATGAGTCCACCTGCAGTGTGGTCAGACCTCTCACTAAGAACAATGCTGCTATCCTGTCCATCTCCTTCCTCTTCATGTTCGCACTGATGCTTCAGCTCTATGTCCAGATCTGTAAGATTGTGATGAGGCATGCCCATCAGATAGCCCTGCAGCACCACTTCCTGGCCACATCGCACTATGTGACTACCCGGAAAGGGGTCTCAACCCTGGCTCTCATCCTGGGGACCTTTGCTGCGTGCTGGATGCCATTCACGCTCTATTCCTTAATCGCCGATTACACCTACCCCTCCATCTACACCTACGCCACCCTCCTGCCCGCTACCTACAATTCCGTCATCAACCCTGTCATATACGCCTTCAGAAACCAAGAGATCCAGAAAGCCCTCTGCCTCATTTGCTGTGGGTGTATCCCTTCCACACTGTCCCAGAGAGCACGGTCTCCCAGCGATGTGTAGCAACCTTCCTCCACCAACCACTCCACTGCCCAGGATGGCTAGTGCTCTCCTCTTCTCAGTCCTTGGCACTGGATTCTCACAAGCAGAAGCAATGGCATCAGCCAGATAAGCGATGACAGTGGAAACCATGTCACCAGTGTTAAAAACAAAAAAGAAAAACAAAAACTACTTCTCTGCTCAGCATTATGTTGTTTGCTTTGAAAGTTAGGCTTATTATTATTTAAAAAATATTTTATTTAGTTGTTTATTTTTTCCTTTGTTGGTTTGGAAGGTGTAGTGGGACCCCACGTGGCCATGCAATGATGCACAAGTCCCAGGATTTTTAACCTAGACTTAAAAATAAATGGAGTTTTTAAGGAAACTGTAGAAGGTATTACTTTTTGTGGACTTTTTTTTTTTTTTTTTTTTTTTTTTGTAAATCAAGGCGGATCTTCCATTTTGTATGTATCTAACAGGATATAAGCTTTTTGATATGACCAAAATAGTTTATATAATTGTGTTTGGAAAGACTTGTTTTAAGTAACACAAACTCATTAATAAGTTACCAATAACCAAACCACAAACTCATTTATTCTTTTCCACTCTCAGCAGTTGCTGCCTCTGAGAATTACTTTGCAGTGTCTCTGTGTTACAGTTTGACATGCACGGTTACCTGTTCTAGTCACACCACTAATTGCAATATTGCCACGTTGAGCCCAGATTTAAATGAGTCATTTTCAATACAGTTTTAATATATTCTTTCCAAAATGAGTCATGAAAAAACATGTTGAATTATATATGAGGTAGCACTAGGTAGGTTTGCCATTGTGATTTTTAAAACTTCTGGTGATTTTCAGAAAACAAAAGAGAAAATCTATTGAAAATAGATTATTTTTATTTTAATATATTCTAACAAATAAATGAGTATGATGCTGTTAAGAAATATACAAACATCACCTTTCACACCTCTGTGTATGAATATATTAATTGTTTTTCTTGCTTAAGATGAATAGAATTAAGTATTACAAACCAAATTTTTCTGGCTCATATTGTTGGTAGTGCAAAATACATTCTGAAGCAGGCAGTCTCTTGTCTTAATGACGAGGTCTGCGAAATGCCCAGTTAAGGAGACTGGTGTGTGCCATCTGTGTCTTGTGGGCTCACAAAAAGAATAACCATGTGTTTGTTGGTGAAAAGTGTAGTTTCTTTTCACTAAGAGATACAGTGAATGCAACAAGGACAGTTACCTGCTTTCAGAGAGCAAAGATTTAGCTGGGAAATTATTATAAGAAGTGATTTGAAACACGCAACGAGGTCATTGTGCCTGAATGTCACTTTCTGTGAGAGCAGACAGATGCAGACACACCATCCCTCTGTTTGTAATGGGCTTTTTGCTGTATCTTTACAGGAAGTGGGAGAATTTCTGGATGGTACATTAAGACCAGTGTCCTTGGGGGCATCATTTGTAATGGATCCCCCTCAAAAGATTTATCCAATGAGTTATACCCATGATGGCTTTAGGATCAATCTCCAAGCCTGCATGCCAAAGCTATCCCTCCAACACTGCTTCTCAAGCAGCACAAGTGAGAATAAATCCTGTACTTGAATCTGCATCTCCTCTCAGAGGCTATTTGTGGACACACGTGAGGGGGTGACATATTTAAGAAGCGGGAAAGGATTTTCAGCACTGTATAATCACCACTTGTCCGGCTGACAACTTTAAAACATGTCTTTTGAATAGCAGATGGGCTTGGTAGGATGAATGGGCTGAGTGTATTTATTTAAATGTTTTATTTATTTTACTTACATATATGTACATGTGTGTGTGCATGTGAGTGTAGGTGCCCTGAGAGGCCGGAGGTATCCAATTGACCTGCACTGGTGTTACAGATAGTTGTGAGCCACATACAGATGTTGGGAATAGAACCTGGGCCCTCTGCAAGAGCAGCCAATGCAGTGTTCTTAACCACTGAGCCATCTCTCCAGCCCCAGTAAGTTAGTTAAGACATGGGCAGGAGAATATTCATAAGGAGTTCTTAAAGCAAAAGACGATGTCTTATGGAAATAAATGGAAATTATCATTTGCATATCTCTGGGAGGAATTACAGGAGAACAGTAAGTTTTGCCTGGACCACATGTATTCTCAGTCCCATACTTGATGTTTTACCAACTTTAAAAAAACAAAACTGTAGCTGTGAAAACACACATTTGTGGTGAGAAAACCACAGCTGCAGAGAGAGGTGAAGAAGCAGACTGAGGCTGCAGAACTGTAGTGTAGGGCTAGAGCTGAGGACAGGCTTCCCACAGCCTAGATGGAGTTCCTTCCCTGAATAATGTCTTTGATCTCTCACTCCAAAGAAAGCTCCTTTTAACATGTCACTGTCACAAAACTTAAGAGAAAGCTTCCAATTTAAAATTACATGTGGACCAATAGCCAGTGAGGGTAAATGTTTGTGTACACGGTGAGCTGTGTGAAACAGTCTTATATATTTACTCAATGGTTGCTTAAAAGTTTTTACATTAATTTGTTTGTGTATGGCATGTGTGGTGCTTGTATGTGTTCATGTATGCATGTGTGTGTATGTATGTGTGTTTATATATAGATATATGTGAGTGTGTATCTGTATATGTGTATATGTATGTGTTTATATATAAATATATGAGTGTGTATATGTGTGTATGTTTATGTGTGTATATGTGTATGTATGCATATGTGTATGTGTGTATGTATATATAGATATATGTGAATGTGTATATAAATGTATATATATGAGTATGTGTATACATGTGTATGTGTATATATGAGTGTGTGTATATGTATGTGTATGTGTACATATATTTTTATTGTGTGTATATATGTGTGTGTGTATGCGTGTATATGTATATGTGTATATATATGTATACATATATGAGTGCATGTGTATATATACACGTGTGTGTGTGTGTGTGTGTGTGTGTGTGTGTATGTGTGTATGTGTGCCATGATACAAGTATGGACATCAGAGGACAATCTATGATAGTTAGTTCTCAGGGCCCTCTTTCTACATATGGGTTCTGGGTATTGAACTTGGGTCATTAGGCTTGGTGGCAAGCGCCTTTTACCTGCTGAGCCATCTTGCCGGCCCAGTGGTTGCTTTTGACCCATGTTTTTATAAAACACCTGATTTCACCTGAGAGGATTTTTTTTCAGTCCTTCCTGTTTAAAAATTTGAAGTTTTTTTTTTTTAATGTTTAAGTTATTTCCTATAAGGTTTCTCTGTTTCTGATAAGGATAACCACTAAGAAATGGGTACCCATCTCAGTATATGTATATACGTATGAGGCTGTGAGTATGTATTAATTGTAGTTTGGACCACTTCAGGACAACAGAGAATCTTTTATTCTATATGATTACAATTACTACTTACTGAAGAATCTATAGTCTTGTCAGTAGAAATAGTTGTATCTGTTAAGACAATTTAATTATTTTGTCAGACTCCTTAATTAGTCCAGAGCATTTATCCAGATGGTGGTCACTTGAGTCTTGTCTTGTTTTAGTTTTTTACTTTCTTTATTTCAGTTGTTTTTCCCTTTTTTTTCTTTTCCTTTGCTGGGGTTTTAACCAGCTCTTTGCCCCTGCTAAGCAAGTTCTCGGTTACTAAGCTACACACCCAGCTCCAATCAAGTTTGCTAGTGTTAGAGTGGTCCTTCTCCTTCCTGATAGCTGAGACAGGGCCAGGGAGGGGGATCAGGGCTTTCCTCATTTAGACACCTAAATCCAAGAGCCAAGTTGTGGAGCAGAAACAGCCATAGATTCCCCTAGGACCTGAAGGAGGATGGAGACAGATGAAGACAGGGATCAAAAATATTTAATACCCCCCAAAAGAGCAGAACAGAGATTCCTAAAAGTTAAAAAGATGCTCAGCAGTTACTAAAATATTGGTTGCTTTCCTTCACAGTCTCAGTAAGCATCCTGTGAAGGCAAAGATGCACCACTTCACACCGGAAGGACACACTGTATCAGTGGCTACCCTGGTGTGATTTTGAGCCCCGTTCACCTTGCTGATTCTTGCACTGTAGCCCTGGAATGCACTGCTTTCTTGTCCCATCTGAAAGCCATAATGCGTATTGGGATGCTTTTGGGGTCCACTTGGGTCCTTTGGATCTCACTATTCAGCTTGGGGCTGGAGAGTTGGCTCAGTGGTTAAGAGCACTCTATCTTCCAGAGGATCAGGGTTCAATTTGTAAGTACCCACATGACAGCTCAATACTGTCTATAACTCTAGATCCAGGGAATCTGACAGTCTTACACAGACATTATACACATAGGCAAAGCAGCAACACACATAAAATAATAAGTAAATTATTAAGAAGAATTACTCAACTAAGGATTTTTTTGATTTTTCAATACACAGCTTTTTCTGTGTAACAGTCCTGGCTGTCCTGGAACTTGATTTATAGACCAGGCTGACCTCAAACTCACAGAGATCCACCTGCCTCAGCCTCCCAAGTACTTGGATTGAAGGCATGCACCACCACCACCACGGGGCTTCAACTAAGGATTTTATAATACTTTTATGTTGTGATTAAATTAGGAGACACATCTGCCTTCTAGAAAACAATGAAGAAAAAGACTATGGCCATGTTCATAAAGGCATCTAGAATGTTCTATATTTAGGAGGCATAGTATATGAATTCCCAAGAATCTTGTGAAAAGTTCAGATTTGGGCCCTTGAATTCTAAGTGTGTCTGGCTGTCTCACTAACTCCCGAGGGATTCTGGTATTGGGTGCCTGTAAGACACTTTGAAGTCTTACAAAGAAAATATCAAATCTTCAACATTTGCAAAATACTAACATAATACATAAACATCAATCAATAAATGCATGTGTTTAAAGTCTTTATTCTCATGAATGTTAGTGAATAAACAGAGTATGTCCAAAGGACATGAACTTGAAACCTTTCGCCAAGAAGACCTGGAACTCTATGGGTACCATGTCAGTGTCCTGAAGTTTTAAGATCTGATTGTCATGATTTGAAAGTAGTCATTTCTAGAAACTCCATGTGGTGTCCCGCCTGCAGATGCCTTCACCCCCAGGTTTCAAGGGCAGTTCTCTGTATTATTGAGTGGTTTGTGTATAGGCATGAATTCATCTTGGGGTAATTAAGATGACCTTTGCTCTCTGGCTCAGTA